CCTTAGGCACTATGCCACCAGAGCTCCTATATATAACATAGTACAATATAATATGATGCAATGTTATATATAGTGTAAGACAGAAAGAGGGTGAGAGAGAGGAGAATACCTTTCTTTGCAGAGAACTGTTGAGAGTTTCACTCCTTTGCTTGAACAAACATCCACGTGGTCCAACTTCACCAGGGAAGAGAAGTCCACACTGGCCACAGCTGTGCTGGAGAGCGTGGAGAGCACCATACTGGCAGCGTTCCTGAAACCCTCAGAGAACAGCACGCAGATTGTCCAGACTGAAGCCTTAGGTAGGACATACCCTTCATGGTAAGGTCACAAGTGGGTGCTGATCTTGAGGGGTGGCCTTGGCAACATGATTCCCAATGACTTTCTCATCCAATTGTTTCAGAACTTTGAACTCATAGCAAAGCATGTCTAATCATATTAACATCACTGAGTGCTTGGTGAGAGTCCTTGCACTGAGTGCTAAAAGTGTGTCATTGAGTCATTCAACAAATATGCTTGCTATATGCCATGTGTTAAGGTGAGACAGGCATTTTTTGTGTTCATGGACTTCCAGCTTTCTCTTTTGGGACATGGTAGCATTGTACTTCCTGGCTACTTTGGGGTTGGGTGGGATTTTGGTGACTAGTTCAGGCCAACGAATTGCTAGTCAAATGATAGCCAGTGTGAGGCCTTCCAGAATTTTCTTACCTCATGCCATAGTAACTGGCAGTGTTCTAGATCATGGTTGTTCCATCTTCCTGGGTCTCAGAGGGAGGGCAGCACAGAGCAGAGCCCTGATTTGGGACCATGATGGATATAAAACATTAAAAAAAATTACAAAACTTACTGCTCAGTCAACCGCCACTTCTGGTGGTTCCAAGTGTGTCAGTGTTGAAATGTAGAATTTTCCATGGCTGTTTTTCAGATGTGGATTGCCAGGCCTTTCTTCCAAGGTTCCTCTGGGTGGACTTGAACTGCCAATCTTCTGCTTAGTAGTTGAGTGTGTAAATTATGTGCACCACCCAGGGACGACCTAACCAGTTGCCATTGAGTTGATTCCGACTCATGGAGACTCATGTGTGTCAGAATAGAGCTGTTCTGTAGGGTTTTCATGGCATATTTTTCAGAAGTAGATTGCCAAAGATTTCTTCTGAGGTTCCTCTGGATGGACTCAAACTCCCAACCTTCGGGTCAGCAGTCGAGCACTGGTGAACTGTTTGCACTACCCAGGGACTCCTTTTGCTTTGGAAAACCTGTCTAAATTTGGAGTAGCAGGAAGAGCAGGATTTTATTGCTTCCCATCACTGCTGGCTTCAACCATCTGTCTCTATTGCAAACTTCACCTCTGAAGCTCCAAGTGGCTTCCTCATTTGCTTGGTGCTACTGCTCCCCTGTCAGTCATCAGAGTGGTCAAGACCTGCCCCATGATGAGTTGGCCTTTCCATTCTCTCTTTTGCTTACAACTGGGGATGCATAACTGCAATGGACAGGAGCCAAATTCAGGACTCACCTGCTGTGTGTCCTCTACAAACCCCTCCTTTCTCCTTTTAGACATTGAGAGCAAAGTTATCAACGATGAATGCACTGAAGAGAATGTCGCATTTAACTTGCAAGCCAAAGGGGACAGAATGAAGATCAGATGTTCCACCATTGAGGAATCTGACTCCACCGGTACAGACCTGCTCCTAAGGATCCAGGAGAGCAGTTGTAGTGGATCCAATCATTGTTTGCCTCTTAGGTGCCAAGGGGTCCCTCCAGAGGTCTGTGGGAGCCATCAGCTTGGAGACAGTAAAGGAAGGCTTAGGATGGATGGGACTGGGGACAAGTGTAGCACACATCCCCCAGAAAAGGATGGTTGGAACAGAGGTGAGCCTATCACATGTCCCAGTGAAGGATGGATGGGATGGGGCGAGTCTAGCCCATGTCCCAGAGACTTATGGATGGGCCTTGGGGTGAGTCTAGTACATGTTCCCAGTGAGGGATAGATGGACCTTGGAGCAAGTCCAGCACATGTCCCCAGAGAGCACTGACATTTAAAGGCCAGGCATTGAAGGGAAGCCGACCAAAGAGACGAAATAAGAATAATCATAAATGTGGGAGGAGAGTTTATTTCTCAATGCTGAGGTGAATTGTTCCTTAAGAAGACACATTCAGATGTATTTATTTGTTTATTATTTGTGGTAAACATACATGTAATAAAGTATTCATATGTATGCAGCAAAACAGGGGTGGCGGGGTGGCACAGGTGGTTTAGGATTGGCTGCTAGCCTAAGAAAGGCCTGGCAAACTGCCAAGAAAACTCTATGGAATAGTTCTACTCTAACACATGGGTTCACCATGAGTGGAGGGTTGACTCAATGGCAGCCAACAACAATAATGGCAAAACATGTGCCATTTCAACAAGGTTCACATGTACAATTCAGGGTGTTAATTATGTTCATCATGTTGTTCCACCATCACCACGATCCATTTCCAGGTATTTCCATCATCCTTAATAGAAGGAATCTTGTGGCACAGTGGCTAAACATTTGGCTGCTAACTAAAAAGTCAGCAGTTCAAACCCACCAGCTGCTTCAAGGGAGAAAGATGGCAGTCTGTTTCCATAAAGATTACCACTTAGGAAACCCTATGGGGCAGTTCTGCTCTGTCATGTGGAGTTGCTGTGAGTCAGAATTGACTCAGCGGCAATGGGTTTAACAGAAGTTCAGTGTCCCCACAACAAAAAAATGAGCCTGAGCCTGTACCTCACACCATATATAAAAACTAACTAAAATTTATTTTTAAATGTGGCCAAGATTTGTGCAAGTAATGGCACCTCAGGATTTGTGTGTGTGTGTGTGTGTGTGTGTGTTTCTTATTAAGGTCACTGTTTTGGAAATCCAGTGGTACTTCAATCCTCAGAATAGATCAGTGAGGTACATGAGGTGGTAAAGTGTATGTGTGTGTGTACGTGTGTGTCTTGTTGTTAGGTGCTATTGAGTCAATTCCAACTCATAGCGATCCTATGTACAAGAGAAGGAAACACTGCCCAGTCATGCACCACCCTCACAATCCTAGCTATGCTTGGGCTCATTGTTGGAGCCACTGTGTCAGTCCATTTCATAGGGGACCTTCCCATTTTTCAGTCACCCTCCACTTTACCAAGCATGATATCCTTCTCCAGGGAATGGTCCCTTCTGACAACATGACCAAAGTAGGTGAGGTGAAGTCTGGCCATTCTCACTTCCAAGGAGCATTCTGGCTGCACTTCTTCCAGGACAGGTTTGTTAGTTCTTCTGGCAGTCCATGGTGCTTTCAGCATTCTTCGCCAGTACCACAACTCAAAGGCATCAATCGTGTGTGTTGGGACTAGAGTAACCACTTTGCAGATAATTCTGATTTATTTTCCTTTGGGGAACTTGCAGGCACCACTGGGGTGGCTCTTGTCTCCTTTGTGGGCATGGAGTCTGTTTTAGATGAGAGCTACTTCCAAGACCCCCAGGACTCCTTGAGCAACTCCAAGAGGAAACTGAAGCTGAATTCTCGAGTCATTAAGGGCATCATGACTGGAGAGAAGAAAGACGAATTCTCAGATCCAATCATCTACACTTTGGAGAACATACAGGTTTGTAGTAAGCCCTCTGAGCCCCACCTACCTAGAGAACTTCCTGTCCTTCAGTAGGTTTGACTCTTGTTTATCATGGGAACCCACCAAGGCAGCAAGCTTCCACAATGTCTGGGGATGCAAATCCATTCACAAAACCCACCTTTGGATGAGTGACTTCTCTCATTCCCTTTATTTTCTTCATTTGTTTTAATTGTGGTGAATGTGAAGCAGAACATTTTTTGCCATTTCAATATTCTTCACATGTATAACGTAGTGATGTTAATTGTGTTTGTCAGTTTGTGTAACTGATCTTTATCTGTTTCCAAGTCTTTGCATCACTATTGACAGCATGAGCTCTCTTATTTCCACGTAGTGTCTTCCACTCAAGGAAGACCAAGATTAAGTAGGTTCTATTAATTTACGTGGATTCAGGAACAGCTCCTGGTTTAGATATTAGCTATAGCTGTGTCCAGGAGCCCTGGTGGTGTAAGGGTTAAGTAGCTCGGCTGCTGCAAACCTACCCAGTGGTTCTGCAGGAGGAAGAGCTAGTGATCCACTCCCATAAAGATTATAGGAAACCTTATGGGACAGATCTACTCTGTCACATGGCATCACTAGGAGTTGGAATTGACTTGACAGCACCCGACAACAAGCTGTATAAATCACTGGTAGAGATGGCTCTGGAATCCAAGGCATTCCTGCGATTTACTGAAGCTGAAGTAAGCTCTCTGTACTAAGAATCTTCATGCTCTTCTCTCTCAGTATTACTCCTTCACGCTCTCCAGCCAGTTACAGATGACTTTTTTTTCTTAAATTTGTCATTTTCTCATTTCTGTATTTTTTTTTTCTTCCAATTTCTTTTTCTTTTCTGGTAAGTATCATGTAAGCATGTTACAACTAGCATGATGGAATGTTCTGAAGGGTTCCCCATCAGCATGTGTGTTTCTGGGCTAGCATCGTTCCCAGCCCATCTCTTACTCTTCTCTGTTTCGCTCACTGCCCTACAGCAACCCTGATCTTAGTTCAGGAAAAGCATTAACCTCCTTCTTACCCCAGGACATTTGTACATGCCATTTCTTCTGTTGGGAACACCTTGCTTCCACTCCCTCCACCAATGCAACATTTTTCATCTAAATGACTCCTATATATCTTTCATCATGCTTGGTAAAGTAGAGGATCAGCGAAAAAGAAGGCTCTCAATGAGATGGATTGATACAGTGGCTGCAAGAGTGGGCTTAAGCAAAGCAATGATTGTGAGGATGGGGCAGCTCCAGGCAGTGTTTTGTTCTATTGTACATGGGGTTGCCATGAGTCGGAATCGACTCGATCTCACCTAACAACAACACAAACAAAATGTTGAATGAATCAGTGAGCAAATGAATGACTATGCAGAAGGTCTTATCATGCATTGCATAAAAGGAGGAGGTTTACTCTAGCAACTAGGATGTGGGCTGCCTCACCAGAGTGGCCGGCACTTCATATTGGAATATCAGCATTTTCCTCTCTTCCCAGTAGGTCATAGTGCAATCTTCTTGCACCAAATGGGTGTTGAGGTTGGTCACATTAAATCTATTTCAGAGGGAGTCTCTAGTGACTAAGCCCTTTGATTTTTCAGCCAAAGCAGAAGTCTGATAAGCCTATATGTGTTTCGTGGAGCATGGGCACAGAGAGTGGGAGGTGGACACCCTCTGGTTGTGTGGTCCTTGAAGCTTCTGAGACTCATACTGTCTGCAGCTGTAATCGGATGGCGAACCTGGCCATCATCATGGCTTTCGGGGAACTCACGGTCAGTACCAGTGGCCTTGCACTAGCTCCTAAATATCTGACTCTAAATCTAATGGGAAAATAATGACTAACTGTCTACGTGTCCCTCATGGATCTAGGGGTTGTGGGAGGGAGTCATGGGGATAGAAGGGGTGTGTTCCATGCCTTTAATCCTGGGGAATTCATGACACTTATGCATAAAATGAGAAATAATGATTCTAAACAGGTACAGGCACAATCGATCACATATCCTATTTACTCAGCACACACCATGTGTCAGGCTCTGTTTTACATTAGCTTTGGTCCTTAACAAGGAGCCTTTATGTTCAGTTCTGTCAAACTCATTTTATAGAATTGGAGACTGAGGCTCAGTAGCCTGTCTAGTCACGAAGCCAGTGAGTGGTGGAAGTGGGATTCGAACCCAGGTCAGTCTGCCTCCAAAGTTAGTGCTCTTTCCACTAAACCATACAACTGGAGCAAGAGACTGTGCTGTGTGAATGCAAAGGTATTTTGGTAAGAGCTGGGAGTGATCGGGAAGGAGATGGAATAAGACTTGAGTCTTGTTGAATGGCTGGATTCAGTAGAGAAGGAAAACCATTCTCATCAGTGTTGGGTGAGAGTACTTGCCTCTCACTCCAGACCTGAGGTTCAGTTCCCTAGTAGAGAGTCCCTAAATGCTATTTAGAAGACCATATGGCTTAGGACAAGGATCCCTGGTGGCACAATGGTTAAGCACTCAGCTGCTAACCAAAAGGTCAGAGATTTGAACCCACTAGTGGCTGTGGTGGCATAGTGCCTAAGCATCTGACTGCTAACCAAAAGGCTGGCAGTTCAAACCCACCAGCCACTCCTCAGAAGGAATACTGGGCAATCTACTTCCATAGTGATATTGCCTCAGAAACCCAAGGAGGGGTTGCTATGAGTCAAATTGACTTGACGGCAGTGAGTTTTTTTTTTTTTTTTTTTTTTTTTTTTGGTGAATGGCTTCATGGATGAAAAGACCTGGTAATCTACTTCTGTAAAGATTTATGGGCTTGGAAACCTTACAGGACAGTTCTGTTCTGTCCTATAGGGTCACTGTGAGTCAGAATTGATTCTACAGCACACAACAACAATACAACATGGCTTAGGACTTAACAAGAATTAGCTCCAGATCAAGACTGGCCTAGTTTCAAGTCCTACCGCTATCACTTTTTAGCTGTGTGACCTTGGGCAAGTCACTTAACCTCTCTGAGCTCAGCTCAGTTCTCATTTCAGAGATGAGAAAAAAACAAAACAAACCATGGTGATAGTTAGACTTACATAAGGAGCCCTGTTGGCATAGTAGTTAAGTGCTTGGCTGCTAACTGAAAGATCAGTGGTTTGAACCCACCGGCCACTCTGCAGGAGAAAGTTCTGGCAGTCTGCTTCTGAAAAGAGTTAGAGCCTTAGAAACCCTAGGGGGATTTTTCTACTCTGTCCTACAGGGTCACTATGAAAATCGGCAGTGGGTTTATGTTTCTGACACAGTTGTAAACAGTTTAAGTGTTTTCATTCAATCCTCCAAAACAACCTTACTATAAGGTAGTTGTTATTATTATACTTTTTTTTAACAAATGAGGAAACTGAGACACAGAACAATTAAAGTGTCTTGCCTAAACTCATACAGCTACAAACTAGCAGAACTACAGTCCATTTTCCTAACCATTGTGTAACAGTACTACAGACAGGAACCCATGAGATGGTGTTTAGAGTACCTTCAACATAAGACCACATAGACAACAGGCAAATAAATTTAAAAACATAGTAATTATGAATAATGACACAGAGGAAGGACTCAGCTTGCTATATCCCCCTCACAGAATTTGGGGATTCTCTGACTGTCTGCTATCAGTTAGGGCTCAGTGCAAGGAAGAGAAACCACTCCAGGCGTTTCGAGCAGAAAGGGGTTTAACACAAATAATTGAATGTTCACAAAACCACTGAGAAGGATGAAGGAGCTGAAGTTGGGGGCTGCCACTTCAGGGATGTGTTTTGGCTTCAAGATCACCCCTGGAGGCTGGGATACAGAAGCAAGAAACTGCTGTTACCATGTAATTCCCACACTCATGAAATTGGGGACTGGGAAGCTGGAGTAGCCGTGGTTAATCTTTGTCTGCTGGAAACTGCTTGTCTTCCAGTGCCACTGCAATCTACTTCCATAGAGATATTGCCTCAGAAACCCAAGGAAGGGTCACTATGAGTCGAATCCTCTCTTGACAGCAGTGAGTTTTTTTTTTTTTTTTGGTTAATGGCTCCAGGGATGAAAAGACCTGGTAATCTACTTCTGTAAAGATTTACAGCTTTGGAAACCCTATGGGACAGTTCTATTCTGTCCTATAGAGTCACTGTGAGTCAGAATTGACTCTATGGCACACAACAACAATACACCATGGCTTAGGACTTAGGAGAATTAGCTCCAGATCAAGACTGGTCTAGTTTCAAGTCCCACCTCTATCACTTTTTAGCTGAAAAGTGGTGCAGAAAGGTGGTGTCTGACTCTCTGAGGACTTCCAAACCTTCAGAGATGCACCTCATTGGAGAACATAAATTACATCAAGGACCTTAACCCCAGGGAGTTCTGGGAAATGTAGCTGGGAGACATCTTGCCCTTGCAATGAACCAGTTGTGCATAGCATGGGGTGGGCATGGGTGGTGATGGAAGACAGTGGCCAGTGATGGACAATATCCAGTTCACGCTGACTGTCAGAGGGAGAAAAGGCTGTGAGCCCTTTTTGTCCAAGCCAAGGGTCTGGATAATTCTTTTTCCTGCCTGGGGAGACATTGCTCCTGTTGTGAGGCTAACAGCAGATCTCCTTCCTGACAGATGGAGTTTTCCTTGTACGTAATTAGCCATGTGGGCATGATCATCTCCCTGGTGTGCCTTGCCTTGGCCATCGCCACATTCCTGCTGTGCCGTGCCATCCATAACCACCATACCTACCTCCACCTGCACCTCTGTGTGTGCCTGTTCCTGGCCAAGATGCTCTTCCTCACTGCGGTCGACAAGACTGACAACCAGGTCTCACACCCCTTCAGATCTGCCTCCATATCCCACCCAGTCTCACTGTCTCCACATCTGCCTCTGCTCATCCCCACCCAATTCCGTTTGTGCTTGGTCCTGCCTCAGGGCCTTTGCACTTGCTGCCCCTCTGTACATAACACTCAGCTCCTCATCTGGTCAGCTCCTTCTTGTCATAGCTTTCAGTCTAACATCAATTCCTTTATCTAATGTGGTCCCTCTTATTGTCACTCTCTATACCAGTGGTTAAGGAGCCCTGAAGGTACAACTGAAAGGTTGGTGGTTCGGACCCACCCAGTGGTTCTGTGGGAGAAATATCTAGCAATCTGTTCCTGTAAAGATCCTAGCCTTGTGTTCTGGTTACCTAGTACCATTCTAACAGAAATACCACAAACGGAATGGCCTTAACAAACAGGAGTTTGTTCTCTCACAGTTTGGGAGGCTAGAAGTCCAAGTTCAAAGTGCCAGGCTCTAGGGGCTGGGTGAAAGCCCCTCAGCCTTGGGCTTCAGCTCTGCCTCTTGCTCCTGGCCCACTGAAGCTAGAGGCATCTCTTCACTCAGGCAGCTACTGGCTGCTGAGGCTAACAAGCCCAAGGTCTACAAATAAAATGGCCAGTCCCAATGTTACCAAACCACACAGCAGGCCATTAATTCAAGTCCATTGTAAGTCCCAAGGTCGGCAGAGTGTAGAAGCCTGCTGAATAATGACACAGCTACATGCAGGGTCCAAGCATGCCACAAGCTCAAGGCAATTCCCCAAGTCTTCTGCTTATACACAGGAAGAAGACCCTATTCCCTAAGGCAGCTACTCAGCTGCTCACAGTGGGTTCCACCATGGAGTTGATTACTAGTCTCATCATAGGGAATATTGCTACATCCAGCTGCCTAGCCATTCAACCAGGCCCCGCCAAGTTGACAGACAAGCTGAACTACCACACCCTGGAAACCCTACGGGGCAGTTCTACTGTGTCCTTCAGAGTCACTGTGATTCAGAATTGAATCAACGGCACCCAACAGCATACTACTGGTTATCAATAGTGGAGGTGATATTGCCTCCAAGGGACATTTGGCAGTGTCTGGAGATATTTGTGGTTGTCACCATTGGGATGCTGTGATGCTACTGGCATCTAGTGGGTAGAAGCTAGGGATGCTGTTCAACAACCTCCAGTGCACAAGACGTGCCCCGACAACCAAGAATTATCTGGCCCCAAATGTCAACGGTGCCACTGTTGAGAAACTCTGCATTCTCTTGTCATTCTAGTTTGTTTTGTTTTTTCCCAACTGTTATTTGAATGATTGTAAGGTTGGTGCAGGACCGGGCAGTGTTTCCTGCTGTTGTCTGTAGGGTTGGTAGGCATTGGAGCAGATTCAACAACATCTAACAACAATAACAATGACTTATTTGAATCCTGTCAATCCTTTGTTATTTTACTTGTTGAATGTCTACCTCCCCTACTAGACTGTAAGGAGCCCGAGTGGCACAGTGGTTAAGCACTTGGCTGTTAACCAAAGCATTGGTGATTTGAACCCACCAGCAGCTCTGTGGGAGGGAGACTTGGTGACCTGCTCCCATAGAGATTACAGCCTAGAAAAGCCTATGAGGCGGTTCTACTCTGTGACGTGGGACTACCACGAGTTGGGATAGAATTGATGACACACAATAAGCAAACAAACCAGTAGGACTGTGAGTCCTCTGAGGGTAAGAACTGTAGCCAGTTCACTCCCTGTGAGGTTGCCAGACACATATAGGGTTTCCCAAAAGGAGTGCCGTTGGCATTTTACATGGGAATGATCATTTTTTCTAATATAAAACTGCCTGTCCTCACTGTAGAATGCTTAGCTTGAGAACTAAATGCTTGTAGCTCCTCCTTGCTCATCATTTTGGCCAGAGGTCAGTAAACTTTTCCTGTAAAGATCCAGATAGTAAATGTGTTTGGCTTTGGGGACCATGCAGTCTCTGCCTCAACTACTCCACTCTGCCATTGTACAGAGAAAGCACCATAGACAAGACATAAATGGGTGTGGTCATGTGCCAATAAAACTTTATTTACATAAACAATCAGGTGGCCCATGGGCGGAAGTTTGCTGATCCACATATCTCCAAACAAGAAGCCCTGGTGACGCTATGATTAAGCAGTAGGCTGCTAACCAAAAGGTTGGTGGTTTGAACCCACCCAGCACTTGTGTGGGAGAAAAGACCTGGTGATCTGCTGCCTAAAAGACTGCAGCCCAGGGAATCCCCTATAAGGCAGGTCTGCTCCATCACATGGGGTTGTTATGAGTTGGAATTGATGGCACACAACAACAACCTATCTCTAAACATCCCCTGAAGTAAAGCTTTGCCCCATAACACTGAAACTCACTTGTTCTGGGTGACTTCAGGGCCAGGCCATTGCAGGTGGTAGGCTACCCTTTCAAAGGGATGGTGCCACCTATGGTGAAGAAGTCTTGTGTTTCTATAAATATTTGTGGAGTGAATGAATGGCCACGTTTGAGGAGCACCAGTTCTCATCCTCTTCTCTCCACTCCCCTGGACCTGCCCCCTGGGGTGGGGTCCTGAGTGTGCATGCTTGTGCTCCCCAGATTGGCTGCGCCATCATTGCCGGCATCCTGCACTACCTCTTCCTCGCCTGCTTCTTCTGGATGCTGGTGGAAGCCCTGATGCTTTTCCTCATGGTCAGGAACCTGAAGGTGGTCAACTACTTCGGCACTCGCAACATCAAGATGCTGCACCTCTGTGCCTTTGGCTACGGGCTCCCAGCACTGGTGGTGGTCATTTCTGCCAGTGCACAGCCACAGGGCTATGGGACACAAAATCGGTGAGAGATGTCCCTTTCCTTGAAGATGCTTTTGTAGAGTTGATGTTGATAATTATATGAACAAGACAAAAGAAAGAACAGTTGCACTAGTCATAGCTACCATATACTGAGCTCTGACTTTATGTACCATTGGTCTTGGGCCCGTCATGTATAGAAGCATAGGTTGTGTAATGCACAAGTCCAGGGGATACTACTTACACTGTAGTATAGGCAAATGAAAGGAGCCCTGGTAGTGCAGTGGTTAAGCACTTGGCTGCTAACTGAAAGGTCAGCTGTTCAAACCCACCAGGTCCTCCATGGGAGAAAGATGAGGCAGTCTGCTTCCATAAAGATTTACAACCTTGGAAACCCTATGGGACAATTCTACTCTATCCTACAGGGCTGCTATGAGTCAGAATCAACTTGACAGCCATGAGTTTGGTTTTGGTTTTATAGGTGAATAAAGTCCCTGGGTGGTGCAAATGGTTTGTGCTGGACTACTAACCTAAAGGTTGGTGGTTCAAGCCCACCAGCCATGAAAGAAAGCCCTGACAGTCATCCAAGGCAACCCTAAGGAGCAGTTCTTCTCTAACATGTGGGGACACCATGAGTTGGAATCAACTCTATAGCTAAGGATTTGGTTTCTGGTTCCTCAGGCAGAGGTACAGATGCTGGGAGTTGGAAGCTGACCAGCATTTACTGAAGTGGCTAGTCCTGCAGGGACATGGACAGCATTCACTCCATGATGCCTTGTTATCACGCTATTATTCAAGACTCCCACTCCAGAGAGAGAACATGTCTGGTGGCCTAACTCAATTCTTTTCATTCTCTTGTGGGGGCAAAACACACTTCTGCTGGGGAAAATGTGGGGAGCTTTAGTGAACATGGCAGAATGGTTGCTGGGTGGTGAAAACAACAAATATCTACTAGAGACATTCTAGAAAAAGGCAATGACTTCCTCCCTCCCACCCTCCCTTCTTTCTTCCCCTCCCTCCCTCTTTCCTTCCCCCTCCCTCCTCCCTTCCCCTCTTCCTCCCCCTCCCCTCTTCCCTCCCTCCTTCCCTCCCTTCCCCCTCCCTCTCTACCCTCTTCCCTTCCTCCCTCCCTCCCTCCCTTTCTTCCTCCTCCTCTGTCTCTCCCTCTATGCTTGTTCTCTTTCCCTCTCTCCTTTCCAAAAAGTAACTACAAAATGTCTGGTCCATGCCAAGACATGCTTTTGTGCTAGGTGTGGGTATGCAGAGATGAACAGGACATCCAAGGTCCAAATTCCTACACAACTCATTGTCTAGTCGGGGAAGACAGATAATTTCCAGGTAAAGAACTGAACAAGATAATTTATATCGTGTTGTTGTTAGCTGCTGCCAAGTCGACTTCACCTCATGGCGAGCTCATACACAATAGAACAGAATATTGCCCGGTCCTGAATCATCATCACCACAGTCACCAGCAGGTTTGAGTCTGTCATTGTGGCTACTGTAACATTTCACATCTCTAAGGGTCTCCCTTGCCCTGGCTGGCCCTCTACTTCACCAAACATGATCTCCTCCAGTGATTGATCCCTCCTGTGACATGTCCAAGACCAACAAGTTGGACAATGTTCTATTGTGATCCATAGGGCTCTCGTTGGCTGATTTTCAGAAGTAGATCACCAGGCTTTTCTTCCTAATCTATCTTAGTCTAGAAGCTTCGCTGAAACCTGTCTACCACAGGTGCCACTGCTGGGATTTGAAATACTGGTGGCATAGCTTCCAGCATCACAGGAACATGCAAGCCACCACAGTGTGACACTATCAGGTAGATGATAGTGATCTGTTGCTAGTTACTGTTGAGTTGATTCTGACTCGTGACAACTTTGTGTGTGCAGAGTAGATGTTGTTATGTGCCGTCGAGTCAGACCTGACTCATAGCGACCCCTCTTTGGGTTTCCGAGGCAATATCACTACGGAAGTAGATTGCCCAACCTTCCTTCCGAGGAGTGGCTGGTGGTTTGAATTGCCAGCCTTCTGGTCAGCAGTCAAATGCCATAGGCACTATGCTATCAATAGATAGATGTTATTTGAAAGAAAAAAATGAACCCTGATAAAGAGGCACTTGGAGTGTGGACAGGATAGTTTAGCTAGGGATAATTAATACTGGTTTCTTGGAGGAGGTAACATTTGAGCTGAGTTTGAATGAGGGCTTTCAGTGGAGTGTTTTGGATAGAGGAAAAGGGATTACAATGACTACTGATTGAAGACAGGATTAATCTAAGACATTGGGTAAGCATTTCAGATATATTTGCCCAGAAAGAATGTCTGCAAGAGGATGCACTATATCCCAAAGGAAATCGAAATGTAACCTGTCCCATTCTGAGACTTTTCTGACTCATATTTTTAAAATAATTTACATTTCTGTTTGAAAATATGCACAGCAGAACATACAATTCAACAATTTCTTGTTGAATTAAATAATTTCTACATGTACAATTAATTCAGTGACATTGATGATGTTCTTCAAGTTGAATGCAACCATTCTCACCTTCCCCCACATGCTCCCCACATTTCCCCCAGCAGAAATGTGTTTTACCCCCACAAGAGAATGAGAAGAATTGAGTTAGGCCACCAGACACATTCTCTCTCTGGAGTGGGAGTCTTGAATAATAGCGTGATAACAAGGCATCATGGAGTGAATGCTGTCCATGTCCCTGCAGGACTAGCCACTTCAGTAAATGCTGGTCAGCTTCCAACTCCCATTGTTCCTTCTCTCATCAAATGCTTTGCCCCCTAAGCATCTCATCTAACCTTTCAAGTTGCTACTGTCAATTTTACCCCATAGAGATAGTTCTTAAAAGAGCACAAACTGCTCAAGGGAGATATTTTTCCCTAATTAAGGTCAACTTCCATTTGGTTGAAGAAAAGTTCAGGGGATGTATTTGTCTGAATCTCACCCCCCAATATTCCCCTCCATTAGTGATTCTGTTAGGGGCACGAGTAACTGTCGGGTCATGACTTTGGGTCAACACTGACTCTTCCTGTCTCTTTCAATAGATGCTGGCTGAATATAGAGACGGGGTTCATCTGGAGTTTCTTGGGGCCAGTTTGCACAATCATAATGGTAAGGAAATTGCTTGGTGGAGTGAGTTCTGGAGGACCAAGGAGACTCAAGGGATGAGGGAGGGCAGGGGAGGTGTATACCAAAATGCAAACATCACTGGAAGGAACAGTTAACAATTTGTGCATATGTGTGTGTTTAGGGAAAGTTTATAGAACAAATTTGTTTTCCATTCAAAATATTCATACACAATTTGTTTTGTGACATTGAATTAAGTCCCCACTATGTAAAAGCACTCTTCCTACTACTTCCCTGTTTCCCATTTCTTTTTGTCCTTCTTTTCTATACCTTCTTGCCTTCTTAGCTTTATCCCTGGGCAAATTCTGCCCTTTTGATATCATGTGGTTGGTTGTTCTCAGTGTGGTACTGTTCACCTAATAGGTCTGTTTGTCATTTGGCTGAAAGATGAAGCCATGGGGGTTAGTTCAGTGTCTTGGCGGTTCCATCATTTTCTGTCAGACCAATGTGCCTGGTCATTTTTATTATTTTGAATTATGTTCCACATTTTTCTCCCACTATATCTGGAACCTATTGTGATACTTTTCAGAGCAGTCAGCAGTGGTAGCCAGGCACCCTCTAGTTCTTCTGATCTCAGGGTTGTGGAGGCTGGAGTTCACATGATCCGTTAGTCCTTCAGGCTAATTGTTTCCTTGTGTGTTTGATTTTCCTCACTCTTCTTTGCTCTGGATGGGAAGAGGCCAATTTTTGTCCATTAGATGGCTGCTCACAAGCTTTTAAGACCCTAGCTGCTATTTACCAAACCAGGATGTAGAACACTGTCTTTGTGGACTATTGTTGTTAGGTGCCATTGAGTCAGCTCTGACTCATAGCCACACAACCTACAACAGAAAGAAACACCGCCTGGTCCTGTGCCAGCTTCACAATCCTTGCTATACCTGAACCCATCGTTGCAACCACGGTGTCAATCCATCTCATTGAGGGCCTTCTCCTTTTTCGTTGACCCTCCACTTTACCAAGCATGACATCCTTCTCCAGGGAATGGTCCCTTCTGACAATATGACCAAAGTAGGTGTGATGAAGTCTGGCCATTCTTGCTTCCAAGGAGCATTCCAGCTGCACTTCTTCCAGAATAGATTTGTTGTTCTTCTGACAGTCCATGGTACTTTCAGTATTCTTTGCCAACACCACATCTCAAAAGTACCAACTCTTCTTCAGTGTTCTTTATTCATTGTCCAGCTATGAGTCAGGTCTGACTCGATGGCACATAACAACAAGCTTTCATATGCATATGAGGCAATTGAAAATACCATGGCTTGGGTTAGGTGCATCTTAACCTTCAAAGAGATATCTTTGCTCTTCAGCACTTTAAAGAGGTCTTTTCCAGCAGGTTTTCCCAGTGCAATATGTTGTCTGATGTCTTGACTGATGCTTCCATTGGTGTTGATTGTAGAATCAAGTAATATGAAGTCCTTGACAACTTCAGTCTTTTCTCCATTTATCATGATGCTGCTTATTGGTCTAGTTGTGAGGATTTGCATTTTCTTTATTTGAGGTGTAATCCAAACTGCAGACTGTAGTCTACAATCTTCATCAGTAAGTGTTTCAAGTCATCCTCACTTTCAGGAAGCAAAGTTGTGTCATCTGCATATCACAGGTTGTTAATGAATCTCCTCCAATCCTGTTGCCACACTCTTCTTCATATAGTCCAGCTTCTCAGATTTATTTGCTCACATGTTGTTGTTGTTGTTAAGTGCCGTCGAGTCGTTTCTGACTCATAAC